ACACCAGACCATTTCTGGTGTTCGCCAACCTCTCCAGCTACCCAGACGACGTGCTCTGTGTGTTCTATGACGCAAGATTAAACTCCGCGAACAGAGTGCCATCGTCCGAGGAAGGCCCTCGAGCGAATTTCGCCACATTTGTGGAGTGGACACTGGCGAGACACGGATCCCCGGTCTCCATCTGTCCCGAGGGGGATCTCACCGGTGCCACTCTGGACCCAGAGCCCAGCCGACCATCTCCCCACTGTGCGGAGCTAAAGACCAAGCCCACCAATGACGGCGAGCCAATTCCCGCCGCGATCTACGAACCAGAGCAATGCCGAGCGACTGAGCAGAGGATCGACCTGGACGTAGAGCCCAAGCCGTCAGACCAGGTGCGAGAGTCGGCAACAATGCCCGCCACGAGGGAGAAAGCCGCGGATGGTGTGAGCATGGCGAGGAGCTCCGCCCCCTGCACCGCGTCTGAGGGTGAGCTGAGAGTGGCGTGGCGAAAGTGCCAAAGCGAAGAGGAGAGGGCTCCAGTCCCCGAATCTAGTCTAGCGTGCCCTCCAGTGCCCGCTCTTAGAAAGTGCCCTCCAGTGCCTGCTCCTAGAAAGCGCCCTCCAGTGCCAGCTCCTCGTAAGTGCCCTCAAGTGTCCGCTCCTCCTGAGCGACATCCTGTTCCCGTGTCCAGCCTAGAGGGGGCTTCCGATCCAGAGTTAAGCCCTGAATGCCCGGAGACGCACAAATGCTAGCCCTCCCACCCACTCCTGCCTCCTCCACCGCTGTCGTCTGGCAGCCCCTGTGCTCGCCCTCAGCCCACCATTACGGTGCGAGCTCCGCGGGTCCGCCATCCTCCAGCGTCGCCATGGCTGGAGAATCTCTCACCTCCGCCTCCGAGGCCCGGACTCCGCCTCGGCCGTAAACCCAGTGATTCCACCTCGGCTCCTAGCTCCCTCGCCTCCACCGTCACCCGTTCGACCATTGGTCGGTGCCCTGGAGTAGGCGGCCATTCCTCCTCCATGGCTCCTCCCTCCGTCGGCTCCACCGTGGGTCGACATTATGGCTGTGGCCTGGGTCCTGCTTGGCTCGTACTGCTCTGGTCCCCTCCCGTCACCTCCCTGGTCTCTGTCTGCCGGGCCCCTCCTGGGTGTCCGTCCTCCTCCGGAGCCTCCTTCCAAGTTCCCACCATCACCTCCCTCTGTTGTTGCTACAGTGTGAGGAAGCACCTTCCGGGAGGGGGCGTAATGTCATGTTTTGCCCCGGTTTCTGTTCCCTTATTTGGTCATGTTCCTGTCCTCGTTTTGTTAATTAGTTTGAGTAGTCTTCCCATACACCTGTGTTTCCCCAATCATCCCCTGTATTTAAGTCATAGTCTGTGCAGTCTGTCTTTGTCGGTTCTACTTATGTTCATGTGTTTCCTGCCGTTCCCAGTGTTGGATGTACCCTGTGTTTCTTGGATTTAAAGAGCGTTTCGTTTATTCCTCATCTCCATCGTTCCTCGCCATCACAGATTGTGACAATAAGATTACATTTATCAAGGTTTTTCTGCTTTTTAATATTACCTTTGATTTAGTTATTGTCAGATCATGGCAAGGATAATTAAATATCCAATACAGATATCAATATTATAGATTCATTTCTAAATTCACAAACACAATATCACATCAAATCATGATGATGTGATGGTCAATGGCATAAACCAGATCCAATTTCACTTTAGTGAATCAAGTGCTAAAACAAGCCAGCAAAAAAGTAAATAAAGTTATTATTGGGTGCAATTCATTTTTAGCAAATTCCCCCCTGCTGAAAATGAGTTATGTGGCATTACAGCCATCTATGTGAGTACAGGAAGTGTCTAACAGCTGCCCTTCAGAACTAATCAACAGTCTTTGTCTCCTCAAATAACACTAAAATTAATCCAGCCATCTTCAGTCACGTCTTTGATACAGCCACTGAATGTGAACCTGACTGTAAATTCAGATGAAGGACAGAGGGGTTAGAGACCTTCCTGAGAGAGGTGGATGAGTGGTCACAGACCCTTGAGAGGTGCACACATGGTCTTTGTAATGCAAAGCAAAAACCTAATGAAAATGATTCAGCTGACTCTTTAAAATGCCACTCAGTAAACAAACAGAGGATTAGAAAAACGAATGCCTACAAGCATCTTTAATCTTTGTCATTTAACTAAATCTGTGTTATTGGAAAACATTATGTACAAACCAACATGGTAGAATCAAAGGAAAATGGCATGAATCAATGATTTCCTGCACTCCAGTCAATCTTTCATACCAACTAGACTGTAAAAAATGATTTTTCGAAGTAAAATAAAGATTATTGGAGTATGTTTTACAAGAAAATACGATCTACTTCAAAGTTTTACTTTTAATGCAATGTTAATTGCTATTTCTTTGTAACAATTTTTTAAATTTCTGACAATTTTTTTTCCCCCTGTTCACACTTCTCGGTTTGCTCCCTGTCCAATTCTTTGCCCCACTTGAACATTGAAATTGGGCATAAAGAATCTGCTGACCTCCAAAAACCAGTGATCGGCACCACTGCTTGCAAAACAAGTAGCTTTTCCACATGGTTGTTTCTGAACAGGGACCACTCAGAGTATTTTTGAGAGGTCTGGAGTCAAGTCCTATGACTCAACCCAGCTGCCAAACTAAAGTAAAGAGAGCAAGACAAAAAGGAAAAACATTTCATGATCTGGGACAAAGCCTGCTGTTTATTTCATTAGACTCCATTAAGAGTTCATGAGGCCAGAGAGATGGGCTAACATAGCATCACCAGGCTTCATTTAAAAAATGACTCCATATTTCATTCTGAGGTCACCTGAGGGGACCATCTACATGCAGATCTGTATTCTGAACCTGCATAATGAGATCCTCATTCTTACAGAGGCTAAATCTTTGTTTCTTTGGGATGTAGATGGCTGTGGCTTTAAGAGCTGGGTTGGAAACCGAAGCTACCATGAATTATGCCCTTGATCATTGTTCAGAGCTGTTCTTTTGGTGTAGGTTACTTGGATAAAACCATCTGCCAAATGAGTAATTGTAAATGGGATTATCATCAAAAGGAAAATACATAAACATCTCAAAGAGATACTAAGGCAGCTACATCACATTGAGTTAAACAGCGTTTGTCTAGGTTCTGTAAACAGGTGCATGTTCATGAGGCCATGTAAACACCAGTCAACTGCAAAGCAACTCTGTTCACTTGTTATCTTCACCCGGAGTAATTTTTGATGATGGCTTTTAGATGTCACAATCTTCAGGATCAAGCAAATGTCAAAACACAGCCAAAGACAATTTACTGAGTGAAATGAGAAAAAGGATCAATACGGATCATTTCCTTTCATTAAAGTCAATGAAGCAAACTTATAAAACTACAAGTTGCCCTTTAAAGTATTATACATTACCAAACTATTTACAATTATTTTAAAATATTATATACTGTATATTATTTTTATATTTTATATAAATATCAAGTCAACAAAATTATATAATATTACAAACAAAAAATTATGCTGTGAACAAAAAAATTATTAATGAATTAAATATATGTATATTTAATTTATTTTTGTATAGATACACACACACACACACACACACACACACACACTACTGTACAAAAAGTCTTAGGCCACTAGTATTTTCACCAACAAAAAATGGTTTTAAGTCAGTTATTTCTTTATCGTTTGCAGTGTCAGTAGGAAGTATTAGTTTACACTACCAAACATTCCTTTTGCCATTAATTGTAATAATCCAGTGACATTTTTGTATATAAGGAGCCTGACAACACACACACACACACATAGACATACACACACATTCACACAATAACAAATGTAATAATTATTTAAACAAACATATTAATAAGTGCATTATTTAATTAAAAAATATAAAAATGTAAATGAATCTCTTTACAACATTTAAATAGGATTTAAAATGTTTTGTCAATATGAAAAGAGATTAAATTATTTTACTGTTAGGCTACATCTAATTTACTTTACATATAATTTCACTGATACATAAATAAAAAATTAAATATACCTATTTGTCAAATTGAAAAGTGACTTTATTCAGTCACATTTTTCATTCATGACTTAATAAATTGATAACTGTTTCCATCCAGGAACTAGTCTTAAGTGTAACAGTATACAGTTTTTTTTAAGGAATTCACATGTAGGTACAATTTATATTGTTGTCCTCAACCATTTTCAAACATTTAAGCGTAAACAGACCAAGAAAAACAAATGCAGTGAAATGTGTCCAAACTTTTGACAGGTAATACATCTATTTAAGGACATTTCTGGTGGGACAGGTTAAATGTGTCTTCTTCAGCACTCCTGTGATCAGATCAGCCATGCAGACACAGATAACACTTGTCCTTGACAACACAGAACTGAAATATGGCAGCCTTGCACCTGTTGAGCAGACAGGATCCCTTAACAGGCAGAGGAATCTCACTGGAGTCTGTGGGTATTCAGTCAGACAAATTCTCGGGTTTGAATTCCTCCCTACTGAATCAACAGATCACTTAAAGCGGGCTTAATCGAATCCTCAAGGCTGGATTGATAGGGTAAACAGCCCGTGATTACGTTAACCTCCCTAGCTGCTTCTCAGACGCAAAGTTTCTGCCTGGATGTGTGTCTGCTTCAGTCAACCGCAGTGTCTAATTCAATCCAAACTCAATTACCCTCTCCGCTATAATGGCCTTTAATAACAGGGTTTACTTACAGGAGAGCAGTTCACCAGAGCCGCTGAAATGCAGTGCACTCTGAGAGAGCAGTCCTGTCATTCAAATATATAGCAGTGATGAAATCAAGTCTGCTTGTAGCGATAACACTCCGCTTTTACAATGCATTAGCATTCAAACACGCTGATATCATATCTCTCTACTAAGACCGTAACCACAGTTGCTGATATCCCGACAGATCATTTATAATCACTCTTAACAGCACAGAGTAAGAAAAGTGAATGTGAAATGTTTTGGTAAACAGCATTTGCTCTTACCCGCCGTAAGCTCCAAAAGTGAAACTCCTCTTTCTCTGCGGCATCTTGGCTAATGCATACAGCTGTGAAAAACAGAGACAGAACTCTACAGAGACACCAGCACTGCCTCTGTCTCCCTGGACTGACTGAGTATGTGTGTGTGTGTGTGTGTGTGTGTGTGTGATTTCATGTGTAACTGTACACATGCAGCACACTGTCCTTCCTTTCCACTCCCCTGGCTCTCTCTCTCTCATGCCTCCTTGGCAAATAAGGGTCTGAGACGCTGGCTCTGTCCACTTTCAGTCGCCCCGATAACCGCTCCCCACTTCTCATTCATACCAGCGCTATTGTAAACATGCAGAAATGGAGCAGTACCTAATGTCTTCATAATGTCCTTTAAAATGCACTCATTACATCTGAATGAGATTTCAGGTAGAGGTCTGCTAAATAACAAACCCCAGATGGACTGGATGAAAAAAAAGATACAATCTTGATATAGACCGATAGCAAGTCAAATATAAAAAAGGACAAACTGCAATAAAAAAAGAAAAGAGAAAAATTAAAAGCCCCCCCCCACCACCACCTATCCAGCCCATAACAGCAACATTGCATTAAACCAATGGCATGATTTTAACTATTGGTTTCATGGATCATGTATACACTATTCAAACTTTAAATGTTGGATTAATTTAATTTATTAATTTATTATCTATTGTTACATTTAAATATAAGTGTCAGTTAACATCTATATGTAAATTTAAAAAGTGATTCATCTTCATTTTCTATATTTTTATTTATTTATTATTTATATATATATATATATATATATATATATATATATACTGTATATATACACACACACACACACACACACACACACAAAACCAACCAAAATTTATTCAGACACCTTCAACATCACACATTATCACAGTTTATTCGCTATAGTTTAGAAAATGGTAATAAAATATGACAATAACTCACTCAGAGTTAAACTGTGTCGGAACAAATTCATCTTGATAATGTCAGATAACACTTAAGTAAAACATGATCAGGTCAAAGTGTCTGAATAATTATTGGTCCCAAATTTTTATCAATTTTACTGGTAGTCCACTGTATGAAGAATTTTTGGGTATAATATGTCACAGTTTACTTTATTTTGCCATCCTCATGAACTATAGTGTCCTGCACCCACTAGTAAAAAAATATCAAAAATTATACCTGGTGTCTGAATAATTGTTGGTTTGACTATATCTACACACACACACACACACACACACACACTATGGAGAAATACAAGTGCCAACTGAATTTTTTTTTTTTTTAAATAAATCACTTTTCAAACTGACTTTGATTGATGCTTAAAAATTTAATTAAATTAACTGAAAAGTGATTTATTATTTTACTGTTAATTTACTGTACATTTTAAACATCAATTGAGCAAACCATTCAAAATGGCTATTTATCAGTTTAACAAAAAGCAATTTTAATATATAAAATTTTTGGAATACATGGAAACATGTTAAAAAATAAAAAAAACAGCCCAGAACAGCAACGCTGGCATGAGTTTGGGGCAGGACTATCAGTTTGATTGACCAATTGCAGACGTGGGGTGTGTTTTGGAAACCTGCTACAAAACAATCAATTAGGTCAATATTAAAATTCTGGCCAATACAGAAAAGCCAATAATATTTTTGTAGATGATTATTATTTTTTGTTATGGGCAATAATCCCTCAATGGCCAATATTGAAAATAAATAAAGAAATAGTAAATGTTAAAATTAACGAAAAAAAACAATTATCAAAAATGTTTTAAATAATCATCTCTAAAAGCCTGTTACAATAAATAATATAAATCTCTAATATCAAATGATAGATGATATGCTACCAATATATCATGTATCCTTAAAATCATTATTGGTGATGCTATAGTGGTGGGGGGGAAAAGCACTAGGGATCGTGCCGTTCATAATAACAGCTGCTCAAACAAAAGCGTTGTGCCAACTGTTGACACAGACTTGTGTTCTTTTTTTAAAGTCACTTAACTATTTACCTAACTGCACATACCTACTTCCTCTGTTGTGAGCATGTATAATAAATGAGCCTTGGACACAGTCAAAGGAGAAGTGTATCTATACGTAAGTCATTTAGAGACTTTGCACAGAAGGTCTTGTGGGACAATAAAGTCTGAGTCTGGCAGTAATGGCTCTCTGATTACTGAGCAAAACACAGTTGCTCTGCACCATGGTTGAGTTTCAAAATGTATCTGGTTTTAAGCAGTTTAGAGTCTTCTACTCTCGCTGGTACATGTTTTTGTCCTTTATCGGGAGTGGATGGCAAACGGACTTCCAAAATAACGCAAAAGCTGAGATCTCCTCAGAGTCCTTATCGACCCTGACGTGCTGCTCTGAAACCCAGATGATCCGACACATCTAGCCAGCGGCTGAAACCACACTGACAAGAGAGTGTAAAACTGCTGAATCATGGGTGAAATCCAGGTTTATGACAGCAAGCTCGATAAAATGAGTACTTGGCTCTTTTCCACTGACTCAAAGATCTGTAAGATGAAACTTATGCACACAAAGACATCCAGTAAATGGCCTGTTTCACACATAAACAGCACATATTTATGCCTATGTGGCATCCATACAGGTGTGCATAAACACTGAAGTGCTAGATAGCAGAATTGTAGCACATATCGTGTATTTTTTTTTGTTTTTTTATTATTTTGGTTGCATATAGTGTGCTGAAATCATCAGAAAAATTTACTATAAAAAAAATTTAATTTAAAAGCTATATAAAATACAGCAAAATACTCACCCACTGTTTAAAAAAAAAGACGTATGTTGAGCTCGCAACAATAAATTAACATTTAATTTATATATATATATATATAAAATATATTATGATAAACTTTATATTATATATAACTAGCTGCGCGCGTGCGAGGCCGCACACATCTTACGTTGCGACCGCACAGAAGAAATAATATGCCACGCACAGGACAAACATAAAAATTAGTTGAGAAAGCCATTTGAATGAATTCTAGTAAATGCAAAATAATTGCAATGCTTGGGCAAACCGCTATAGAGCTGATTTCGCTATAGAGCTGATGAATGCTGTTCACAGGTTTCATAGAAAGAGAATGATGTGTGCCAAATCAGACCCTGTAGAAATGTAATGGTTGTAGACGAAATAGCAAAAAACAAGAGAGCTAAAGCAAACGTAATGACATGTGAAACGTCATCATGTTTGAAAGAAGAGTGTCTTGATTAAGTGGGGGAAATAGCAGATGATGAGCACAGAGCAGTAACAAAACTTTTACATTTACAGTTACAGGTGAAGTGTACAAACTCTAGTACATGGTGATGTTTTAGATAACTGTAAATGAATTCACGTTCACGGTTTTTTAAAAATATTTAATGAAAATATTAGTTTTGCTCAGCAAGAATTAGTTTTTTAGAAAAATTGATATATATTATTATTATCTTAATACTTTTATATTCTTAACATTTTTCAATATTTATTCATTATATTATATTATACTATATATAATTATATTTATATTTAAAAAATTATATTATATATAGTATTTTAAATTATATTTTCAATTATTTTTTTATTTGTATATACATAATATGCTGTGTATCAATTTAACATTACATATGTTTATATCACAAACATACAGTGGGTACGGAAAGTATTCAGACCCCCTTAAATTTTTCACTCTTTGTTATATTGCAGCCATTTGCTAAAATCATTTAAGTAAATTTTTTTTTCCTCATTAATGTACACACAGCACCCCATATTGACAGAAAAACACAGAATTGTTGACATTTTTGCAGATTTATTAAAAAAGAAAAACTGAAATATCACATGGTCCTAAGTATTCAGACCCTTTGCTCAGTATTTAGTAGAAGCACCCTTTTGAACTAATACAGCCATGAGTCTTTTTGGGAAAGAGGCAACAAGTTTTTCACACCTGGATTTGGGAATCCTCTGCCATTCCTCCTTGCAGAGCCTCTCCAGTTCTGTCAGGTTGGATAGTAAACGTTGGTGGACAGCCATTTTTAGGTCTCTCCAGAGATGCTCAATTGGGTTTAAGTCAGGGCTCTGGCTGGCCCATTTTGCAGCTGCTTATACAGTTTGCTGCTTATACATGCAGAGTGAAACAGGGCAAAGTCCTCAATTCAAATCTAACTAATCCAACCAAATGAAATGGATTTATCTACTAAAGAAAGTTCCGCTAAATGAAAGCTCTGACATGTGCCATGATATATTGTCAATCCGTCTGCAGAGTGGACAGGCTGTCCTCATTGACTCAGATGGCTGCTCTCAACTGAAAGACATTTGCTCTTAGGGAATAAACTGCCAGGTAGACATTGATCAAACAAGAATACTGTTTACGCTGCTCTTAGGTTTTGTGCTTCGAACCACTGCTGTTCATCATTTCAAGGCTTGAGACAGACCCAGATGCTCCACAGAGAATGCTTATTGTTTGAGGGGCAAACGGAGGCCATATCAGTCACATCTCAAACAAATGAACGTGGCAGGTCCAATTCACAAGCCAATAAACCCTCATGTCCTTTACAGCACCTGAGCAAATGGAATTTTCAACAGTGAGACCAAGGCACTAATATGAGCTTTGAATTTATAACATGTTGGTGAAGACAAAAGTCAGAGTCGAAAAATCATAGGCTGTAGTCTGAAAACTCCTGTAATAACAAAGAGGCTCTGAAAAGTACAGCTCCATCAAAGATCTGCTTTCAGCTGAAATGAAAAAGTGTAGACAGTGGTGTAGTTGTTTATGAGCTGTTGATCCTGCGGCGTGAAAAGGTTCAGCTTGCTTCCCTTCAGACGGGAGGGTTAATTACACCATAACATTTACTCTGTCTCATGATAAACACCTTGCTTATGGCCACAGCATATGAAAGAGGTTCGACCGAGGCTAAGACTATATTTCAAATGGAGAAGAGATTATTTAATGGGGGCAGGTATTTAAAAGGTAATTGTGCTGGAAATAATCTACAGCTTATCTTCGCCTGCATTTCATTTTTATCAGACTTTCACACTGCACGTCAGCCATGCTAACACAAGATGACTTTCTGTAAAA